GAGTTGAGCCAGGCTTTACAAATCCTGGGGACTAAATATGGCGGACGTACATGAAAGAAAAACCGCCTAATATTTAATAGTCTCTCCGCCTCTCACACGCCTCCCCATGTGTCGTCCCAATGGAGCCGAGATTTAATGACTGTCCCCCCGCAGGGACGACGTGTGGGGAGGTGTGCGAGAGGCGGAGAGACTATTAAAAGATTAGGCGGTTTTTCTTTCATGTACGACCGCCATATTTAGTCCCCAGGATTTGTAAAGCCTGGCTCAACTCCTTGTGAATGTGATCTAATTGTATTTAACTTAAACGACTTAGATGTCTGTCATGCCTACAGAAGCTGATAGGGGTAATTAACTATTGTTAAGCAGCTTTAGGTGTCCCAGACATCTAAACCACTTTAGCTGAAAGCAATTTAGAGAGAGAAACCTCATGGAGATGGACCGATCCTGTTAGATCGATCTAGGGATGGGCACCCAGTCTTAGTTTCATTCATCCATTATTGTGTGACAGAATTCAACAATTTGTAATGAAATCTCATTGAACACACCGCATCACCACATGAGTACTGTGCAAAGTTGTATGTGTGACCACATGGTTCCAATATGGTGTGTTAATTAGGGTTTGTTTAAATTCCTGTTTCTTTGGTCAGTATGATTTTGTCCTCTGTTTATTTCTGTTAGACTCTTAACTCTAGATAAAACATCATGTGAGGTGAGAGAACAGTTTCATTAGCTCTGTATGTATCAATTTAAATTATTGTTTTTCTTTTTATCAAGAGCTTATAAAATATGTGGGTATTATGTAAGGTGTCCTATACTTGTGTGTAAGTTTGACAGGACAATTAGATAGGTACATACAGTAATTACTCAATCTTTACATGGGGGAAAATTGTGAATTTTTCAGATTCAGTATTTTTTAACTCAATTTCTTTCATTCTATGCAGTAAAAGCACCACAAATGCTGTATAGAAATGTAATTTTGTGATAATAAAACTATGTATCTGAAATTTTGCTAAATTTTGCCCATTGAATGGATCGAGTATTACAGTAGGGTCACTAATATTTTGCCCATCGAATAGATCCAGTTATTACAGTTATGTCAAACATTTGATGCTGTTTAGTAGGGCAGTGTGTTAGGTGGGAGTATGAATTACCAGTTGCAACATGAACTTGATGAAGGATGCATCCATTAATACAATGTATTATACAGCAATGTAGGATGTATGGGGTTTACTGACACAAAAACCTGCAAAATGTGTAGCAAAGTAGATATAACTGTGCTACAGATAATTAAAATACATATAATTTATTTGATGAAGAATTGTTTGTGATGACAATTGACTGTCATGAATACATTTTCAGCACATGACTAATTTAAAAGTGAAACTTGTTTGTCCGTCTATTTCAATAATTGGAAGACAATTTTTGAAATTTTTCAGTGTGACTATGACCAAGATGGCGCTGCAGAGTTTCTGGGAAGGTCGACCCATGGAGGAGCTGCTGGCTGAGATGCCTATAGAGGATGATCCAGCTGGAGATGTTATGACTGATGATGATGATGACTACTGATCAGTAGGCCAATTAGAAGATTTGATAATTGCACTTTTTTGTAACATTATTCAATATGTCTATTTGAAAGATTCAACCCTTGAAAAAAAGTTTTGAAAATTGTAAATTTTAGACTGGTAGTTTTCAAATATATGACACAAGAGTAGGGTATTAAAACAAACAGGCAATGTTAGTATCATTCAGAATTAAGAATGTGCACAGTATATTTGTAAGGTGGTGTTTTAATATCATGTCGATATTTATGCTTATTATTCAAAACCTCCTAAGGTATCATATGTCAGCCAAAGAAGTTGAATGTTTGATATTGTTGACAACTTTTCCAAGTCACAGTGGACAGCAAAACTAAAGGGATCAAATTATATTGAATTGAAACACAAAGTAAAAAGTTAATGTACCAGAACATGATAAGATGCCATAATAGACTATAATCTAAGGGTGCATTCCCAGAGAATCAGATCGATCCAGAGATTTAGATTTAGATTGTCCTAACTCCCTGGGGGTTCACGCTAAATTGCAGTCAGCCGAGCGCGCACTTTAGTTAATTACTCACTTACAGCTTTTAGTAGGCGGGACAGACGCTTAAGCCGGCTAAGCTGACAGCAATCTAGTGAGACTCCCCACAGGGATAGATCGATCTAAAATCTATGGGAATGGGGTCTAAGTTATAGCGATTTTAAGTAGATGTAAGTATATAATTCATACCAAATAAGATTGCCAGAACTAGAGCAGTGCTAGATGTTTGGTTGAACTCCTAACACAATTGATCTGTTCATGTGCTAAACGTGAAAAACTTACGGTGCTACATGTATATTTTTCAGTGTCAAGTTGCAATGGTTGACTGGTATGACAACTAGTGCCTTACTAAAATTTAATGTAGAAACTCAGCCTCAACAAGTTGGCTGTTGGAAGACTTTTCTGAACATGAGCTAATTTGTTAAGGAGTTTCATGAAACCTTCAGCTGTCTGATGTGTTATTTAGCCATACTGATTTTAATCTTTTGTGAAGTATTTATCTCATTTTAACAAAAGATTTTCTGCAATTTTCTAAAGACCAAGCTCTCTGTAAAATACAGGGAAGCTAAAGCATTTAGAAATGTTTCATTTCAAAATATCCAAGATCTATTGACTAAAGCATTATAGTATAAACTCGCCAGTCAAGATTTAAGGATGTTCAGCTAGTTTTGAAGTTTTCAGAGTCATATTTAGTACATTTACATGATAAGAAAGAAGGAATTATTTTCTATTCAGAATGGAGTTGACATAGCATCTTCCGTTTGATAATGTTGTGAAGAGAGATTAAGTGTGATGATGAACTAATTATTTGATAAATAAATATATGTTGGTGCTATGTTTTAATATAGTAGATTTAGAAATATATATTTACCGAGAAGTATTATAGGGTGACATACAGCTTTTTCAGTGTTCTTAATCTTTGTTTTTGAAATTTCCCTTTATTTATAATAACAGATAGTATGTATCATGTATTTCTTAGGAAAAATAGTGCCATTTCAGTGGAATTTGTTTCAGCTTAACAAATATATACTTTTGAATCAGTCCTGCAAAGAATCAGTTTCAAAGCAAAATATAGCATGGTTTTCATTTTATTTGTATAATGCTAGTAAAAAATATGCTGAAAAAAGATTTTTTTTTTGGAAAAATGGTCTGATCAGGCTGATTTTCAAACTTGACCTGTATTTCATGAATGATCATCAGTTCTGTAAGTTTGAATACAAAAGGTAAAATGGTTTTCATTTATTTGTATAACAGTACATAAAATAGACACAGACACATCTGTGTCAGTACATAAAAAGCAGCTGCAAAAAATTGGGAATCATATGTGGATGCTTAAAAGACATTCTTATATTTTGATATTATGAAATGTTTAAATGTTATTATCAGTATATTTAAGTAAATAGCCAATATAGTTTGCAATAGACACATTTCATGGATTAATTCCATTTATTGTAATTTATTTTTCTGTGCCATGTTCCAAACATTAATGTTTTTTTTTTTTTTTTTTTTTTTTTTGCTTTCAATTGGAAGTCTCCAGTGATTCATGCTATGTATATGTTATTACTTTATACTAGTTAGTTTGTAGTATACTTATTGTGCCTTGTAGCACGCACTGACTAACAGATTCAATGGAGATGAACACGACTTTCTTGTATTATGTAGCTTAGATAAATCTAGATCTCCCCTAGTGTTTTACATGGGCAAATGAATAATAATAATAAATTTAGAACTGATGTGTCCTTGGATAAAACAAACTGCAATCTGTTTGCATGGAGTCATCTTAATCAAGTTTAAATTTTCATCGACTGATCAATCAAAAATGGGGTAACAAGCATATCATTAGACAAATTAGTCAAGCAGTGTGTAATAGTCTCTTTGTGTGATCTGATAAATACCATACATGTATAGTGAGGGAATAGATGGAAAGTGGGAGAGGAGATATGTACCTGAATAGAAGGAGTTATTGCTGGGGGAGGGGGGGGGGGGCTTGCTATTACACCATGTACTGTAAGCACCTGCTGGTGTGTAATTATAATGTGGTCATAATGGAGATAAGTTTTGTAAAATGGTGGAAAAAACTTCTAAACTTCATGAAGCCAGTAACAATAGTCAAAATGAAATATTTTGGAAATAAATTATTTTTTTGAAATAAATGCTAATTACCTTTATAATGCACAAATCATGCTTGTGTTTCTCTTAACATCTGGTTTATAGGAACACAGATTTAACATTGACTTGACTTTATCAAATGACTTTATTAAAACCTTGGACAAAATTGCTTAATAATGTGTGTTCATTGTTACAGACACTATAAGTGTCTGTATATATTTTGATATGTCTGTCTGTCCATGTCGTCACCATCACTGTCATGACGTTCCCCCATAACTGCCAAACCGTATTTTGTTTTACTTTAAATTTACTGAGTTGCCTTGTTTGGCAAAGAAGCAGATTGCTTTGGAAAATCAGCATGATCCGTTCACATTTACGGTAATTATTCTGTTTCTTTGCACAGTTTAGGTGACATTCACTCTATAACTACCAAATCATATTTTTGTTTTACTATTAATTTACCGAGTGACTTTGTTTGGTAAAGAGGCAGGTAACTTTCAAAAATATACAGTACATTTACAGTAAATATACAGTTTTTTAAATATTTATTCACACATAAGCATTTCCAGTGGCTTTAAAGCTCCTGAAACTGAATCACTTGCTAGTTTTTCAATGCCCATGTTACCTGTAGTACTTAATGTAAGAGGGTAAGAGTGATTATGCTGTTTTAAAGCATTATGTAAAAGTGCATTAAAATTGGCCAATTTGGTGCACTCTTTTCTGGGTCTGAATGTCCAAACATTTGTCAGATTTGCTGCCTTGTTTCCTGTATGGTGTCTGTATATTTGTCAGCTTTGCTGTCTAGGTTTGTTTAACATACAAATGTGCTTACTACATCTGGTGGTACAATATTTGTAGGCGGCATCGCCTCCCTGATCCTCTAGTTTGGATTTCCTTTCTGCCCAAGTATGGAATTTTAATAACTGTGACCATGTTAAACAGATAATAAGAAATAATTAGGAAAAGAATTTTGAAATGGGAGAAACTTTAAAAAACATATTAATACAAAAACTTATGTACAGGATAATATCTGATATTTTAAAACAGCTCAGCTTATAACCCAGATTAATACTGTTGAACCCCTATATGTTGGAACAACTACTACAATAACACAATCATTAATGCACTGAACAACCAATTCAATTGGAAATTTTATGAAAAACAAAATTACTTATAGCAAACTTAACTACTATGTAAGGCAAAACAAATTACAAAACACCATACTAATAAACAGAAACAAATATATTAAAATATTGACAATTCTAGGTAAATCATGCTTAAAAGAGAACCCAGCAGATCCACATTTTCCAACCCAAAAGTGTGAAGATGGCGAAGAACCCATTTTAAGCCAATCTAGGTATGTCTTTGTTTGTGCTTAAGCAGTCACACCACATGTTATAGAAGTGTATTGGTACTGCATATACATACACTCACACTGTATCGACTGTTAAAAGTTATATATAGAATAACCATAATAAATTATCTTTTCATAACCAGCAATGTATGTTAACTTACCATTCCTGAGTAGTGTACAATAGTGTACATAAATAGTCTAATATATGGTGTATATATTGTATGAATATTTATTTAAAAAATTGTGGGCACTGGTAAGTGTGCTGCCAAAAAATGTGTGGATTTCAAGTGCAATAAATAAATATATATATTGTTTATTAGAGCTCAATCCTACATGTATAGGAAAATGTAGGTTGTGTATGTTTCAGTTGATAGGTTAACTTTAGGAATATATAATAGGAAATACTGGGCATGTGATTTGTTTTCATGATTTAAAGAGGACAGCTTACACAGATGCAATTCCTATGCTTTTAGCAAACAAAACAAAAACATTTCTTTTTTAATATATGATCACTTGCAAAAAAATTTGCCCTTGATAAATAAGTGAGGCATGTCAACATTGCATGTAAAACAACAGTGCATACATATACAGACATAATATCACTAACTGGTAACTCTATGAGCACCTATGAACAGTAACTTTAACACAACAGCTATTACTAGACATATTACAAAAAAAAAAAAAGGGTTACAGCAGCATTTGGGTAAAACATCTCCTTCAGAATATTAATTATCACTCAAAGATATCTTGATTTATTCTAATGATGCAGAATGAGTCTTTAAAAAAATCAATAATTTGTTCCAATGACTCTCAAACAGTGGTAACTGCTTTAGGATCATGTAAATTTAAATGAAACTTTGCAAAGTATCAAAAGTTTCATAATTAAAAATTGTATAATAGTAAATATGTGCATCACATAAATGTTGGAATGGTTAATGTATTACATATTTCACCAAACTGGGTAACCTCGGTGTGATTTTAAGTCCTGAACACTTGTGCCCGCACTATGGATAATGCCTGAATCTAGTTATGAGATCATGTTATGAAAGTCTTCTCTAAGTGCAGTGAAACTGCAGGTCTTCGTACATAAATGGAGTTAGGATTTCAGCTTTCTCACTCAAAGATATGTCTGGTAGTCAATCATGCTACGTTTTAAAGCTTCCCTGTAGTTAACGTACCTGTAAATTAAAATAAAAAGATAAAAAAGGGTGTCCAGTTAGGAGTGATCTGAAGATCTCCATCTGAAAAAGCATCACTACTGATGAAATATTATACAGGCATATGCTAAGTATAAGGTTTAATTTAAAAATAAATTTGTTGCATGATAATACTTAACCAACAAAGAAGTAGAACCATATATTCAAATTTAACAGTTTTGTAGTACTTGGTGAGTTTCACAGAGCCTACAGAATACATACAACACTCACTGACAATTAAACCCTTAGTTATATAGTTCTTTACAGTTAACACAACGTATAAACGCATACAGTGACAAGAGCGTCAATTACCAGTTTTTGATGCGCTGCACTTCTTTTTCTTCTTCTTCCTGGAATTTCTTGTAAATCCCCAGTAGCACAGTTTCTGGGAGGTTTAAATACTGAGCCACCTGGATTACAATTCATTATTCTCACAATGAATATACATATATCCTTATAAATTTCATGTCTTTAATATCTAGTAGAATGCAGTTTTTGCTAGAGCACCAACTGACTACTACCATATTATTATTTTCTGGGATTGAGCTTATTTGTTAAAATTTGATTTGTTATTGAAGAAAGATCCCTAAGAAAGCCTAGGAAAGGTGCCTAGAGTTTTATTCAAAAATAAAATTTCAACTTCAGGTCACTGATGATTTTTCAAAGCTGTATACTGTAATATGTATATATGTATGCTTACCTCATGTGTGATAACCTGTGATGAATCTTCCATGATGAATAGTTTAATGTGATCCTCATCAGGACCCAGCTCTACCCTGGTTATCAGAGGACTGTCAGCCTCCTCCAGTTTTCTCGTCTCTGAAGAAAAAAGAGGAATCTGATATCAGCTGGCAGTGAATCAATTAATTCTAGGCTTAAAAACTTAATGAAAAAGGATGATCATTAATGAAAGACAATACTGTCAACATATATTTTCCAACTACTTACTTCTGTTGTCAGACTATTCTGCAATGTTCAATCAATTGTGATCATAAAATGGGCAATACTGTATAATACAGTTTTAAAATCCTAGCACTTGTGTGAGACTATAGTGGCAAGACTTACCGCCATTGTCCTTCACAATGTAGAGAGCAAATTCTTCTGGGCTGTTTTCCACCTGTAAATGGCAAAAATCTATAACCCTATCTTGCTCTGATCTTTTTTTCTAGCTTCCAACTTACATATAAATAACTTAAAAAATCACCTTCTTTGTCATACTGTATCAAGATGACTTTCCTTATTTAGTTCAAAACAATTATTCTCAACATATTTTCAATTTTTATTTATACAACGCCAACCTTGAATTTTCTATTATTCATAGAACAACAGTTTTTAAAAAATGATTTTGCCTATTGTATTTTCATTTATACAGCACCAACCTTGAATTTTTCTAACAGCAACTTGATGACATCGTGAACTGGTAAAAGACTGGACACCCTCACTGCTGTCACTGTGCCATGAGTAGGGGTGAACACACTGGTCTAAAAGACATAAAAATATAGCTTTACGGTACCATAAAAAAAAGTGAATTATGAAAAAAAATTAAATATTAAATTTGCATAGAGAAAATTTGGTTTTAAAATTTATCTTATAGGTTAAGGGCAGGTTAAGTTTTAGCTGAAGACTGCACTTTTTAAAATTATATTGAGATTTGGTAAACTTTTCTTCATATAGATAAATAACACAATAACAATTTCATTACTTATATTAACAAATGAGCAGTTACCAATAACAGTACAACAGCTAATACGTACTTCATTTAATTTCTTTTCATTCACAGATCACATACCTTTGGGTTATAAAAATGTCCATTAATTGTGTATCGTTTCTTTAATTTCTTGGTGGCTGTTTCACCCCTATAGGCTATGGTATTATACTTTTTGATCTCTCTTTTGTTCTTCCTCCCTCTTTTTACCACTGTTTCAGCAGCTGCTAATGCGCCAGTGTCTATATCATCTAAACTACCTCGGCGTTCTCTTTGAATGGGTCGGGAAGCAGGGGTTTCTTGACTAGAGATGCCACCTGCAGGGAGTGTTCTGGAATCGACCTAGTGGAGAAGAATTAAGTTTCTTATAAACCTTTTTTAATCCAATTTGTCAGAGAAATAGGACAGAAAAAATTAACAGATATTGTGATGATCAATTGTCTGCTAAGTCAGTTGGAAAGTCAACAGCTAAAATAGAATACAGCTTATTTGTACAAATGAATAAGTTGTGACAGTGAATCAGCGATGACAACCAGAGTAATAGATAGGAAAGTTTATGCAAATATGATAATAACTTATATCAGAGCATGTAATGATATGCTGGATGTTGGAATACCAATAATAAAAATTCAACCATAAGATTAAATGATTTCTCAGCTAATTTTCATTGATATATTCTAACAAGTTGGGAAAATATAAACTGTATCGCAAAAACTCAAGAGCATCCAGAATGATCAAAAGATTTTTTAAGAAGTCTGGCTACATACACAATATTAACTGGCTCACCTCCGTACTTCGACCTGCCTCTGCAAATCCATTGATTATATCAGCAAGGTGGTTCTTCTTCCTCACCATGACAGCCTCTCCCTTCTTAAACTGGATTGGTTTTTTCACACCCCAGTACACTTGTAATAGACCCTCAATAACAAGACGGTCATTCACCTGAAACAATATCAAAATTAAGCTGAAACCGAAGTATTACTTAGTCCCACCGATAATGTTCTAATGTACTCCATAAAAAAAGTCAGAAATAGACATTATTCTCAAGTTTAAAAAACAGGCTAAACCTAGGACCTGTCTAGTGCAATGTAGATCCTTGGTTTAACCTTGTGAGTAATCTTTCTACACCATCTGTTCAGTTTTAACAAGCTTTTATTGGCCATGTGCCTGCAGAGACACCTACCATTTTGCTGTTGAGGTGCCGTTTCTTTCCCTCATGGTGTCTGTTGTATTCTGCTAACTTCGCCAGCAGTCTTTGTCTATAAATATTATAAAAGTAATACAACTGCAGCTGACAAAAATCCGTTATCAGCAGTTATCAGCCCCTAACAACTGAGAAAAACTTTTTGCAAGCTAAAGGCCTGTGGTTTTGTTACATTTTCATCTTCAAACACTGAACAACAGCTATAAACACATTCTTTGAAAAAGTAAATCAGGGAAGTCCTTTACGTTTCCTTCTTATCATTCAGTATCTATACAACAAGTCAGTTATCACATACGTACACACACAAACACACACACACAGAGAGAGAGAGAGAGAGAGAGAGAGAGAGAGAGAGAGAGAGAGAGAGAGAGAGATGAAACCAATTTACCACTTCAAAATTAATACAGATTATACATACGTTTCTTGATCACCCATTCTTCCTTCCTTCTTGCCAAAGTTTCTATGTGATTCGACAGAGGTACCGTGACCAAATGTTTCTGGACCAAATAAAGCACTGTAGCATGGAATGTGACAATATGGAAGACCGTGGTGCTGAAAAAAAAAGTTCAGCATCCTAAATCACATGCAATATTCAGCAATTATATAAGTTATGAGTCAGTGATTAAAGCACAGCTGGAATTTAAACCTGGAGGTACTTGTAAATTTAAAAAGAATCACAATGTACAGGACACTACCACACTTTCAGATTCCTTTTTACCATATATGAACATGAGTCATTATTTTTTTGTAATCTAGGACCATGATGTCAGATTACATTGTAACATACACCAAACATTTCTGTCTACCACAACCTGTTGAGTATATGTTCAGATAAATTAGCATTTTGATTATAAACTTGCCTTTTGAATCCCAATATAAAAATATTTCTTTCAATAATTTGATCTTCTCTTTCAGCACTGAAAAATGTCTGCTTTTACCAAGCAATACATGGCAGCAATGCCACAGTTGAAATATAACCTATAATCGTCCTTTTAGTGGCGTTACAGAACTTGGCAGACGGCACTAAAACATGTTATTGCAGCTGTAGGCAAGCATGTATAATATGGTACAAAACAACCATTCGGAGACCATAGCAATGAGTTAACATGATACCATTTTATAAGACTGGATGTGATGTGCCAAAAAGGTCAATGTATGCCTTTGATACCTTAAAATAGGAATAATTTTGTCATTGCATCCAGCAGCAGCTACCAATAGTTTCAAATGTAAATTTAAAACCATTAGTTATGCCAAAGCTACGTAAAATGTATACAGTCAATGGGAACTTTAAATGTAAATTACCCAGATTTGACTTTTAAAGAAAAATGAGCACATTACGTTAGAGTGAGGGGAAAATAACTACCAGTATTTTATGCTTGGAATCACTGCATGCATGCAGTTGTCATAGCATCGAATAAAAGAACATAATGCCTAGTGTCATTCTGTACTCTTTTTTTTACTTTTGGCTGAAGCAGGATGATGTTTTTAAATTTAGGATAAAAAAGATTATTCTCCATTTCTCCAGAAAAATCATATAGAAAAAAATCACCACATATTTCTCATATTATACTACATAACCTCCTTTCAAAAGTGTCACACATAAGAGACATAAAATGTGTTTGTCACGCAGTGTTTAAAGGTAGAATGGATTGAACAATGCTTCATATAATAACAGACTTCTTAACACGGCACACCCTTCCATCCAACATCACTCGACTAGTTTTGCCACAAGCTGTTATCGTGAATATATACCAGTGTGTCCTGATACATATATAATATGCAGCCAACAGAATATGATTACTTCTAAATTAGATATCAATTACCTGAGTCCCAAATGCCACAGAGCTATACATAATATACATATAATAGTTCTAAGTATACATTAATATACATGTAACATTTTGATTAATACTATGTAACTAAGGAAATTAGTATCAAATCCTTGGTAAATGATTATTTTCTATTATTACCAATTTAACTTTTAAAGACATCTACTGGTAGAATAAAGATCAACACAAATTCAACAGAAACTGTGCCAACATCCCAAATATCATAGTGCTTAAGGTATAAGATCCTCAACTGACACCCAACCTTTGGAAACTCCATCAACCAAAACTTACACTGATAAATATTCAATTAAGTAAGAAGTCAGTGCGGCATTCGTGTAAATAATCCAGCGTGACGTGACTTACTTGTACTTCCTTACCTAACCCGCTCACTGGTTCTCTGAATGTGGCACATATGTATAAACAGGTAAGGTGTAGGCTAGCTAAGACTCAGTTCAGACTGGTTTTTTATTGAAATCTGTTTCATGTACAAGATGTTTTACCAAAATTGACAACCAAATTATTTGGCAAGGCAAAATCAGTTCACTGGCTGACACCACTGGTGCACTTCTGTAATAGAGGTAAGATTTTTGGGACACTTACGAGTCTCAGTCATCTGAATTTGATAGCTAATTTGGTCATGCTTTAACACATTTCATCTGGGAGCTGGTCCAACTTTTAAACCTGTCTGAATGCGGCTGTAGCCCTAGTGACAGTATTATTCTGATGTTTATCTGCGTGGCCCCAGTCTATATGAGATGACAGCTGACATGCAATGGCCAGATATGTCACAGGGCACACTGCTGTCTATGTCACATTGTTGGCAGTTTTTTTGTCTTTATTCTGTGATTTTAACAAAAGTTCTAAGTTTTTCTTTCTTTTGAGAACTTTTTTTGTTAATTGTCTTGTTTTGCAATTTTCATAGATGTAGAAGGTAAGTTTGTCACTTGTAAAGCATTCCTAACTTTTTTCATAATAAAAAAGTTAATGTAAACCAATATGTCGTTTGCTTCCTTTTAAAAATACATTAATTTTTCCAATTTTCCTACTACATTAAAGGGATAATAACTCTTCGTATGAGATCTATATTTCACAATAAAAACCTTGTGAATAACTCATAGAAATATAATTATATTCTGTTTTACCACAAAAACAGCAGTTATAGCTTTTATTCTGATATTTGAACTTGTCTTTAGACCACGTGACCTCCACTGATGTCTATACTCTGTTAAAATCTCTTAAGAGATTTTAACAAAAAACCAAACTTTTTAGAAAAAAACCAGGGACTAACTTTGAATGTAAAAATGGATTCATTAACCATTGGTAAGTATGGGAAAATTGTTGTTTACTCCAGGAAAATTCATTTTTGGCCAAAACGAAGAGTTATTATTGCTTTAATTTCCCAGTTAAACACTTCAGGAAAAGTAAGATATCTTTACTACCCAGTAAACTTTCTTACACTTTAGGTAGAATTATATCACAAGTAAGTAATTTTTAATTATTTCCAATTTGATTCCTTTAAAATGGTCATCATATATCTGCTTTTTTAATACCCCCTCAAAACTCCATTTCCCACCACTGCAAATTAAATACATTTCCAAAATCAACAATTGTGGTAACCTAAACATTTATCAAACATACTATCTAAAACAACTATCCCTTGAAAGGCCTCTTGAAAAAAACAACATAAATCATTACTATCTTTATGTCGCAGATAACATCCCTTGTCCCAGACTAGAATAATGATAGTTATTGTGACCTACATTATCTGCCCCTACCTAATCTGCACACCTGAAGACTATATTCCTTCAAGCCTTCATAAATACTTACACAATTAAATGTTCCTCTCTTACTACCTCAACAGAATATTTTCAAAAATCAAGAAGCAACTACTGAAAAGTCTACTATTACATATTTGATGAGAGTGTCACCTTTTTAAATGGACAGAAAAATGGGATTTAAAAAGCACTCAGTGATGCTTCACTTTACACATATATTAGTATACAAATTAGCATATCTTAATGTCACACAGGGTCAGGGGTTGTCCAGATATGGTTGGAAAGACCACACAGTTCACGACCATTAATATTAAATATGACTGGCACACGGACATGCTGGACACACCACTGCATATTTGAATGCTGTCTTCATGGGGAGTATATATTGCCAAAAGTAATAGGAGAGACCATTTTCAATGCCGAATACACTTATCTTGGACTGTTGAGCTTCTTGGTTTAAATCTATGCACAGACACTCCAAATGTAAGTACAGACTGAATAGAAAATAAGCAAAAATAAGATATTTGAATGTAGAGCATATGCTGAACATTACTGACATTTGAATTAGAGAATGTCATAACGGATATGCACATAAGGGTGAGAGTCAAACCACTGTTTGCGACAGTAGAAGCTAGATGGTTTTCCAGAATACTGTTTTAATGTGTAGAATTAGCTGTTTATCATATATTCTGATTATGTCATATTCATCTTGATATTCAGAGGTTTAACCATCTTTATTTTTGAACATCTGACTTTCTTCACTCATATTTGTCCTCTCCTGATTTACTTAAGATTGTGAATATATTTATGTTCAAAGACTGCAAAAATTCAGTAAACCACTGCAGATTTAAAACACATTCACAGTATCAATTTTCAAATCTCAAACTACAATCCTCCATGTGAAGCTGAGTTACTGGTTGTGCTACATCACAAGCACAGCAACTTACTTTAAACAACTCCCAAATTGTGTTTGTTGTGCCTTGTCACAATCATGGCATCCACTCCGACTCTATGACCTCTTGGCAGCTTGCCAATACAAGCTAATCTAGTGATCATACTTCTGTCACTGTGACCCACCCTTTCGGGTTCTTATTCATCAGTAGAAATATGATGCCTTCACCTGATGTCCTCACATCACAGCTATTTAAACATGCTTATCTTCTTGTCTTATTCCTTATATAATCACATTAGTCATTAGCATCAGAGGAATGCCGTATCTATGGTATTTAAACATATTTGTGGTCTCTTTTGAACTGTACAATGTCCTTAAAGAAAAATTAATGCCCTAAGCAACAGTAGCAGTACAGATAACAGAGTTGGTTGAGGTCATGTCAATATTCTTAAAATACCATTTATTATTTATCATTGCCGACTTACAAATATTTAATAGGAGCCACTGAATACAGAGCCAATATGTATCTGGTTGTGTTGTTCTCTAACATTAAGCACATCAGCAGATAGCAATTTAATGTCGAAATCTTTAAAAAATCAGTTGCATTTTTAACCAAAAGAAAATAAACATTTAATACAATCCAGAAAATTGGAAATGCCAACAATTAGTTGGTTTACTTAAATTCAACATTAATTTCAGTTTAAAAGATTATATCATGAAAATAATCAGTGACTTAATGTCTAAAAAAGGTAAATGATACAACACTGTATACACTATCACAATAACATCTAACAATAGAAGATAGCTGTGTTGATATAAACAACAACCTGTACTGCACGAGACTCTATTGATATAAGTACCATTAATAATTTATGTCAATACGGCACCAAGCAACTTGTCACAAAGACTTACAAAATAGCTTCTGTGTGCAACTTTTGTGTATTCTCAGCATTCGAGAGAGAGAAGAGAGACTTTTGAGACATGCTATTCTATCATGTTATTTGCAAAAATCAACATAAACAGTTAAACATTACATATAGAAAACTATCTTGGTGTGCTTGTAATGGGTCCATTTTCCTAGTGTTTCAGACATATATATAAATATATAAAAACACATCACAAACAATTGTCATCACACTAAAAGACGAATTCATTCCAAATGATACAAGGAAAAAATCATTTAAACACCATGCGTAATTCATTCAACCGAGTACTTCAAACAACAACACATATAAAACATGCAGGGGTACTAAGGTTCTTATAATCTTCAATAAAAAAACCCATATTTACACAACAAGCCATGCAATATCTACATTAACACAATCCTACCTAGTTTCTTAAAGATCCTGTAAAATATAGGTATAAAGCAGGGAATTAAAGCAAATAATAAATACATTTACCATTATAGAGACACGGAAAGCAAAGCATATTTGTCAATGATGAAGAATCTTGTTTATAACGATAAAATCATCAAATAAAAATACAGATAGGTGGAAATACTTTGAAATAAGCAAAAATGTAAAAAGCTTCCCATTAAAAAATCCAATGGTTCATTCAATTGTCTTTGGGGAAGGTTTTGAGTCAGAAAGCAAGAATAATGCTATGTATTTGAAATTATAAATACAAATAAATTTATCATAATAATGATAAAAATGATAATTATAATAACAATGGTACAGCAGTTACTTTTTATAGGAAATGCAACATAAGTCAAACAAAATATATACACCATACCCATATTAAGTCTCCTATAATTCCTCATAAATACACATCATACATGTAATGTAGAAGAAGCTGTGCCAAGGCCATGCATTATCTAAATGCATTTCTTAAAGGGTTCAAGCCCAAATTGATGCTTTTCTTTTAGATGTACACATATCATAATCTTTACATTATTGTCCTATGTAGTTGAACTTGGTCAGAATGACCTCCGCATTTGTACACATGCATTTTTCCTTATTATATAGGTTACTTACCTCTGCGTGTTGTCCAGGATTTAAAACTTTCCCACATTCTTGACATCGTAGACACTGAGGGTGCCAGTCCTTGCCTAGTGACCGCTCACGCTCAGCTGGAATAGAATATACAGTGGAGACTACATTTTATGAAGTGGGAGGAATGCTTGGCTAAACTTCATAAACAATGAGGGTATGTGATTTGAGAATTTCAAAATGAGTGAATGGCTGCTTTATTGATTTAAAAAAATGATACAGAACTAAATAATCTGATAGCAAATATTTGTACATTTATATCTATAAACAGAAGTTTCCTTGCTGGGGAATATATCCTTAACTGGCAGCAATATAACATAACATTGCGAAGATATCTCATCTCTGGTCAGAAAATGGAAGATGAATTGGTGTAATAAGTCTGTTCGTATAGCAAACTAATGTTATTATGTGCTTGGCATAAAAGGTTATTCAATGGTAAATTGTAGTGGTGGTATCTGTAAAATATATGAAGCTCTGTGACACATATAACAGCCCAGAAAAAGCTTCTACTTAAATATTACTCTACCATTGTTGTAAATACATATTATCTGGAAAACTATGGCACAAAAATAATTGAATTACAGACAAAAAAAAAAAATGTACACATAATGTACCATAAAATATTACTGTACTACTGTTACTATCAGAATTAATATCTTATGATTTTTGCTCTAGTTATAATCTTAACTTTATGTTTTTGATAAATGTACAATGTTCAATGACTGTAGGCCCACGAGGTCATGTGATTTATATATTTACATATATTCACATGTCACATTAATAAAAAACAATATTTATAAGATCAAGAAACATTAGCATCAATCTAAGGCTGCGTACCATTAATAATGTTACATCTGGTCAACACTTTTATATTGCTTAGAGGCATGGACACTAACAAAATCAACGATGAAAAAAAAAACGGAAATGTTTGAAATGTGGGATATCGAAGGATGATTAAACTATCATGGACTGAAAACAAAAGTAATGCGTAAGTGTTTAATAATCTAAAAATAAGATCATTACTAAACACAATCAAGAAAAGAAAATTAACTTACAGGGTATTTAGGGCACAGCATAAGAAAAGGTAATTTGCAGAGGTTGCCATTGGAAGGACAGTTGAATGGAAAACATAGGAAAGAAAAATCAAGAACAACATGGATAGACAACATGAAAGAATGGACCAATCAAAATTATAATGAAAGCATACGTATGGCACAAGATCGAGAGACATGGCAGCCAGCCTGCTGAGAGTGGATAGCGCCAAATGACTATGGTAGAATACTCAGTGATGCAAGTGCCTGTGCCTTTGGGTATATTGCAGCAAGGTGGGCGGGATACCCACCTGCGTGATAACCACAATATGTCCAGTAAAATTAAACAAGCCCGGTTTTTGTGTTAAGGCAGGATTGAAGCTGCATGCATTAATGAAAAGATCTACAAAGACGAGACGTGGTACTAAAATTTATCAATCGATCAAACAATTGTTCAAAATCTAAATATTGAAATCAAAGGCAGTTTGACTTGTGTTGACAGTCAGGTGATCAACCACCTTGCCGGCAAAATATAGCGTCTAGTTCTGAACTGGTTTATGCAATGCAAGGGTTACAGGCATATAGTAGTATTGTGCAGGAGAAAGATTACTTTTATCAAAGCCGGCCTATGATTTCACTCACCGAAATACACTGGTTTTCCGCACTTTAAACAGGTGGACATTTTGTAGTGGTTGGAAAGCGGAAGTCAGCACCCATTCAGATATAAATATTTCGCGCCGAAAATTAATCCTTATTTATTATTACAATTGGTAGGCTATTTGACTCAACAGGCCAATTAATCAGTGTATTTTGATCATGAACAATGTATTCGTGGTTTCTGTCAAGCGTAAAAGAAAGTCAAAAGCATTTTTATGGAAAACGTAGAATTTCGAGCACCTGACAAAATCCCTCCGCCATCACAACCCGCTTGACGTCACCAGTTGAAAAATGGCGCACCTTCCTGGATTGTAATGCTACTAAAAGTTTTGAACTTCGGGAACTCTTCACGCTGACCACGTTTCAGATTCGGTTTATAAGGTGAGACGGAAAGGTTTGTAAAGGTATTTTCTGTTAATATCTACTCGATAGAAAACTTTTTTTGCGGTTTGTCGCCCGGAAAACTAAAAGAAAGAGGATGACTTTTTAAAGTCTTTTGAGTTGTGTTGACAAAGTCTATGCAATGTGGGCCGAACTGAGTCACGCGAGTACCGTGGGCTTTAAAGATAGGGAGACAGCCTGGATTCTGCTCATTTTTTTTGTACATTTGAGACATAGGGAGGCTTCTTTTTAATTGTACAGAATCCTAGATTTATCGCCTACTTGTGGTGAACTGACGAGAGAAAATGTTTATCGATAACGTCCATGTCCATAACACGGTTAAAACTTAGGTGAGCGGCAGAGTTAATGGGGATCAATAAATCCGTTTAGTAAATCCTGTTGGTTCTGAACAATAAGTTATACCTTGATAAACATTTATTGATGTAGTTAGTAGTATCGTGTAAAAAGTGTACACGTTTGGTGGGATCGGATTTTAAGTTAACTATTAAAACAAACGTATTTTGTGGCAGC